GTTGAACAGCAGAACTACATGGCCAGGCGTCGGTGACATGGCCGAAAACAAGCCAACCAATGCAACAACATAAACGTAAACTGTAACAATTACAAAAACGACTGCAACAACAACAGCTATATGTAGCTGTACCGTATCATTAGCAACAAAGTGTTTCATTATCACCACCAACAACAATGGCTAATGGCAGTTGACAATAATGACAACAAAGTGACTGCAATTGTAAAACAGTGTCCAAAAACACTTTAGGGCGTCGAAGCTGAATTTGGTCATTGATGTTGCGGCCAGTGTCTGTAGGCATAGCTAAGCTAAGCTTTAGTTGTACATACATACACATGTATGTAGTCGGAACAGATGTAGAAGTCGAAAATCAATTTGACATTACCATCACATGAAATACAAACGCGCATACATATGTATATTCAACTGCACAACTTTGGACACTACCTGCTTATAAATATGTATGTATGTACATATGTATATTATGTACGCCCAGAAATACATACATAAAAATGCATCACCTACTTCGATCGCCTAGCATTGGCTTGCAATTGCAACAGTGGGTGGGTTAGTTTTGGCCAAATTGGTTAGCCATTGTAGGCACAGTTTTGTGCAGCTAGGACGGACACAACGACTGACATTGCATACAACTACACAACATAACGGTAATGCACTTTGTGCATTTGTGTTAACAAGTTGTAGCTCATTATGTGTAAACACGAACAACTCTCGATACGCACACCTAAGCCTACATACATACATACATATGTACATACATCTATACATACTAGTGCTGCGAACACATCGATGTTTGATGACTATCGATTTTTCGATGTTTTTGCTAATAAAACATCGATAGTATCGATACTATGGGAGTTTCTTGGGAATTATAACTTTTGTTTAAAACTGAAATCCTGATCAATTAACGAACATTATAAATAAAAATAAAAAAATATGTATTACTTCAATGTTATTAATTAATTAATTTAAAATGGAAATGTATTAATTAGGCAATAATATATGTATATAGTATTCATTTAACTTAAATTTTTAGGGTTGATATTGGAATTCATTCATTAGTTAAATGAAAAATAAAAAGTATTATAAAAATATTCATAAGGCAACAACACAATTTATTTTGTGTTATAATTAATGTTTAATTTAATAAATAAATTGTTTTTTTTATTCTTGATTCTCCCTGTTATAGATCATCGTTTTTATGAGTAGGTAATAAATTTCTTAAACACTTGCCTTTACGTTTTTACACTAAAAATTCAGCTTAAATTTAAAAGATTATGTAATTATTACACTAAAATTTTTGCATTTCATTCTTGCTAATGATGGCAGATCTTCTAAAAACATCCTGTTCGGAAAATGTCTCTAAAGGACTAAGAAGCCGATGTTAACTGCGTTGAGTCAATACAAGTGAAGAGGAACGTATCTTAACAAAGTCAGTTACAAAAGAGGTTTTCAAGTAAATATTTTGCTATTTTAAAAATTTTATCGCATGCAATCTTTTTCATTCTGAATGTTTTGCACAAAACATTGCATATAATCAGGCTGTACAATGTTTTATACCTCTTTCCTTAATGAACTTAACGAACAGATGTCGCCCAGCGTACTTTAGCGAAATTTTGAAAAACTCTACAGCACAGGCACAACCTACGCTATGGCGCCCTCTACTTATAAGTTTTGTCAATTACATAAGCACAAGCAACGCGTTGAGAAACGGCAAAGCATTTGACTAACGCGACGTACATTCATACATGGATTGTCAGCTCGGTGGTAACAGATTCATGATTTCAACTGTAAATTAGTTTTTAGATGGTTTTTTAAAACACCTTGTAAAAATACAGTTATTCGAATTATCAGATGTGAACGAAATAAATGAAAAATATACCTATCGGCTTTTTTGGAAGTAAATTTTTTAAGATAGAAAAGGGTGATAGAGTTGCATTCCAGTAATACGGTTTAAAACCTCAATTTTCCGAAAATCCCTCCGTTGCTGTAGGTTTTTTTGTTGAAAAAAAAAACACTTTTTTCTTGAGAACTGTAGATAAAAAAAAAATCTGGTCAAGCTGTGTTGGCTATATATAAATGATTACTGGTAGCTCAATTTTCGAATATTTTTAAATTTTTTAATTTTTGCCTAAAAAGAGGTACAGAACAGTTTCTTCTTTACTTAAATATAAAATTTTAATAATGATGTCATTCAAATTAAATTATAAGCGACAGCTCATGGCAAGCAATAGTTATCTAGATATGAGTGCTGACATTGTGTGAAGATGTAGGGTAATGAGGAGCAGTGTCGGGCTCGAAATTGAACTCTTGGCCAGTAGTAGTATTACAGAAGATTCTATGTATAGCTCGACCTTTTCCTATGCTCATGCCATGACCACTGAGCTTCCAGCGCGAAAATTTTGTTTGAACAATGAAGTACTTTTCAGAGCCTGAAGTAGGATTGTCATAACTATTGGATATTTCATCCGGATATACAGGGGAATGCGGTCCGGTCTCAGGAAACTGTACACACCTACAAGGGAAAAAGGTTATTTTTCTGTTTGGAAAAAGACCTAGTCAAAATGTTAAAATATTCTGTTCGGGTTTTCTATCGATGTCGGAAAGAACAGTAAATACATATGTATATATAGCTTCAAAAAATAATGTTAACTTAAATATTCTACACTAAACACACAGGGCATGTAAAAATTATGCATGTCTCTGAGATCACAAGCATTTACTTTTAAAGGTACATTAGCGACCGTCAGCAATAAAAATAACTAATTACGTTAACTATCATAAACTTATGTTTGTAAAGTAGAAAATAAGAAACAGTTTTCTTTTTTCATAAACCTACTTACTGAAGTGCGAACTGAAGTGTTCATCGAGGTCAAACCATTCCGACTTATCAATGCACTCTATGCACAAAAAAGTCTACGTATACAGATGTAAAGGTATATACAGTGACTCAAACAAGTGACCATGTGTTAATTTTTTTTTTTAATAATCGTAATGTTTTTCGAGCGAAATTTTTTTTGTTATTTTTCTATCAAAATATCGTGCAAGGTTTTACTCAAAAACATATAAATCACAGTTTTAATCTTTATGCAAAATTTGGGAAAATTAAACAAATTTTTATCCAAATTTCAACTTTTTAATCTGAATCTTTAGAGCATTTTTGGGTATGCAGTTTTATAACCTATACAATTTTATTTCAATGAAGTGCAAGTTTCAACCGCCTGAAAAATCGGGTTGATTTTTAAGATATATATATTTTATTTTTTTATACTACTTTTTGGTTTTTTTTTTTTTTTTTTTTTTTTTT